AGGTGCCGCCAGGCTTCTTCAGGTCTATGTCCACACCTGGCACGCTCTTGCTTTCTCCAGGTTTTATTGGTCAAAGCAGTCCAAGGCGTGGGCCACCCCCCATGCCCCGGTCCCCGTGCCACCCCCCACCCCATGCAGGCCCTGCATGCAGGTGGGGCTCAGCGGACATTGGGTGAATAGTCTCCCCTCAGAGAAAGTGCACCTGCTCCGAGGCGTTGAGACTTTGGTCTTTTATTCTCTTCTGCACAACAGTACCGAGGAATGACTGGAAAGGGCAGCAGCGCGGCCGCCGGGCTCTGCTCCCGGTGCCGAGAGCGAGACCCGCCGCGGAGAAGCGCAGCCCCGGCCGCACCCCAGCTCCGCTGCCAAGTTCAGGTAGGGGCAGCTCTATTTACACGGCAGACGCTCGTGTCCGTAACTCAGCACTGGTTTTCTGGTGAGACTGTGGACCTTATGCCCGTGAGGACGGACCTACGCTTAAGGGGTTACAAGGAGCCCGATGTAAGGAGGCAAAGCTCCTCGGTTAGCAGTAGTGGATCTTCCAGCACAGTTGACCCACGTGGCCTTCTTTTTTTTTTTTTAATTATTTATCTGTCAGAGAGAGAGAGAGAGAGCACCAGCAGGGGGAGGGGCAGAGGGAGAAGCAGACTCCCCGCGGAGCAGGGAGCCCAACGACATGGGGCTTGAGCCCAGGACACCAGGATCATGACCGAGCCAAGGCAGACGCCCAACGCGTCTCACTGGCGCCCACGGCGGGAGCTCGCCTCCTTTGCGGCACCTGCTGAACAGGAGGCCTGGGGTCCTGAGCCCACGCGGGAGGGAGAAGCTCCGTGTGGCCGTGGCCGGGCCGTGGGACACAGCCCTGCTCCCGATACACTGGGAGGCAGGGTGGTCCTCTTCTTTATCCCAGTGTCAAATGGTAGAAGACGGCTTTATGCAGGTCAGGTTAACCAGGACGCACACCACCGTGGTCACCGGGGAGCAGGTCCTGTGACCTGCCGGGCCATCTGGAAAGAAAAGTCGGAAGCGGCGTGGCCGTGGCCCTAGCACTCCTGGCAATGCTCCAGGGCCACGTGGTGCGGGGTATTTTTATACCATCGTGTGATTAGGAGCATTGTTCACCTTTTGTTGCAAACAATGTGACCGGGGCAGAAATTAGAAGGGAAAAAAAAGATCATTATGACAACAGCAAAAACGCCATCTGTAAACATGATTAGTCTGCCCTGAGAGGCTTGTTTTTCCTCCCCACGAACTGCGGGAGTGTGTGTAGAATCGATTTACAGAGGATTAATCCTTTGTCCTCTTACAGCTCAGTGGAAGGGGTCCATCTCTGACGGAAGTGTGGGACTTTATCTGCATCCCATGTACTAAAGATACTGTAATTCAATTCCGTATGGACATTTTATCAGAATGTTTCCAAAACATACGGAAACGGTCTCCGTTTTACAGAAAAGAAAGACGTAAGAATCCAAGGACATGTATCTCAGATCAGCTGGGGTTTCGTGATTCGCTTGCTAGATGTCAGACCACAGGACGTCAGCTCCTTCCTTCTGGGCCTCTTTTCTACTTGTGCCAAACAGTGTCCCAGAAGGAAGAGCCCCTGACGTGGGGGATACCGCTTATCGGCTCCATTGTCCCCAGAGTTCCCTAAATGCTCTCGCAGGTGCACCTGGACGTGGGTCACACACGCCCAGGGGCCATCATGGCTCTGGCCGTGTGCTCAGGACAGTGTGGCCCCGAGGGCAGTCAGGACAAGAGACCAGAGCCCTGTTCCTGCATGCGGAGGGTGGCGTGGGGACTGGGGCCCGGCCGGCCTCACGAGGAAGTCCGCAGCGGACAGAAAGCTGTCCTCCCTCTAACGTTTAAGACCTTCAACTCTAAATGGATTTAGTTCATGGGAGATTCATGCATGGCTGTGTCATCCGTGTGGCTGTGTTCTTATTTTATAGACGCTTACATGACTATTCCATATGGTGCGATGTGATCAATAACATCATCTCGGTTGTGTGTTCTTGTGGTCCAGAACCTGAAGCGAGACATGAAGGTGCTGCGAGCCTCTTCTCTGGAGGTTTTCAGAACTTGCTGGGAGCACCTGCAGGATGGTCTTTCCGCAGTGGTGGCGGCCGTCCAGAGGGCACAGCTCTGCCACGAGGCTCTGCTGGGTAAGCTGAGGCCCTAGCCCAATGGCAGCCCGGCCCGTTGTGCAGACACAGAGGACTGCCAGGGATTGAAGTTGGCATCTGCTGTGGCTTTGTGCCCCTGCCTGGGTGCAGACATGAGCAAACCCCGAGGCACGGCCTGGCCATCGCGGGGCTACAGTCCCGGTGGCCGCGCCCCTCAGGGAGGTCCCTGTCCTCTGGGGACGGCAAGAGGCTCTCTCTGATGCCGGCCCTGTGCTGGGGCTGTGTCCCTGCTGAGCCTCCCGTGTCATGTCCCTGAAGTGCAGTGTGACGGTCCCTTCTGTCCATTCAGCTCTTTCTCAGGCTCGGTCACTACTGGGTGGAGACGGGGATGTTCTCATCACCGACCAGACTTAACAGCCCGGGGAGCAAGGTCCTTTGGCCGCGGGGCTGTAAGTCCTCACCCCAGAAGCACCGTAGAAATGAAGGCATGCTCCTTGGGTGGGTTCTGCTCAGGGACCCTCCTGCAGGGTCTCCGGCCAGGTGACAGGTGCGCACGTGCGTGTGCGCCTGCGGTCCTCCGTGTCACGTGCTCCAGGAAAGGGGACAGCATGGTTATCTAATGGGCATAGTGTGCCTCTGTCAAAGAGGGGTGCTTTACAGAGAACTGGGAGGAGAGGGGGAAGAGCCGTGAATTTCCCTCAGGACGCGAAAGTCTCCTGCAGGTAGGGCAGGTCACGGGGAGTGGTTTGAAGATCCTCTCCTGAAAACCTCACTCGCACCTGCGGTAAAATTGTCCCCACAGCCTGGAAGTCGAAGGCGGGTCACCTGGAGCGGTCCTTGCAGGAAGTAAGCGCGCGGTATGAGCTGGAGAAGCAGAAGAGGAAGATGCTTCACAATCGTTTGGTGGTGAGCTCCATTCACCGTTCAGGTTCCGAGGAGGGTGGTGGGAAAGGTGACCTCATTGAAAGGTAGGGGTGGGGGTCTGGGTGGACAGCCAAGGAGGTGTGGCCAACGGGGAGGTGTGGCCCATGGGGAGACGTGGCCCGAGGGGAGGTGTGGCCCGCGGGCAAGGAGGCGGTGGGGCTGAGCCTCCCCGGGGTGGGGTGGGACGGGACCAGTGCCTGAGGCCTGCAGGTGGGGGGTCAGACACCTGGCTGAGTGCGAGGGCGGGGGCCAGGCAGGGGCACGCGTGTGCCCAGGGGTCTGCGGAGGGCGCGCCCGGAATGCGTGAGCCGGGATCCTCAGAGCTCAGCCTCCCTGGCCAGCGCGGCTCCAGCTTTCTTCGCCGTCAGCAGGACACCGAGGATGGCTCACCTTCGTCTCTTAAGCAGTGTGAGGCCTGAGGCCCAGGAGATGTGAAGACTCGGGTTTCCATTTCTGCACACGATGAGGCCGGAGTTGATGGTTTGTTGGATGACCTTTGCTCCCGAGAGATTTGCTGGCGTGCTGCAGCCCGGGCTAGCTCACAGTCCCACTGAGCCTGTGCTTGGCAACTCCCCGGCCCCCGGCTCCCCCAGAGGTTAGGAGTGGCTCTCCTGTCTGCTCGCTGTCTCCCCGTGTGGTTCGGGCTCTGTGCGCTTTCTGCTGACCAGGCACTCTGTAAGCGCCTCCGTGCATGTTCCTGCCTGGTCTCAACAGCAGCATCACCCTGGGTCCAAAGGGGCCAGGCGGGCGCTCGGGCAGGAACCAGGTCCAGGGTGGGACGAGGCTTGGCGCTCTGGCTGCCGCGTTCTGCGCCCTGGAAGACACACCGACAGCCTGTAAATCAGCGGCTGTGCTTCACGACTAGTTGAATCAACCAGCTGTGAGTCCAGGGTACGATTCAGAACGGATCTCCAGAGAATGCTTTCTGAACATTTAGAGGGAAAACGAGTTGCTCACGGAACCAGCAGGAGTGTATGAGAATTACAGTGTTCTCGTCCTTTCCAGGTATCACATCAAGAAAAGAGGAGAGATGTAGAGTATCTGGTCTTCAGCCAGGCTTTTGCAAAAGTATGACATGAAATATTAATGAACAGAACGTCAGCATAAGAGCTGCGAGCCATCCTTCACAGGCCAGCCCCCGCCCCCCCAGGTTTTTGGCGTCTGTGGAGGCCGCGCAGTGAGGGAGGGGCAGGCCCGCCCAGCCAGGGACCTGGGCCCAGATGACGGCCAGGAGAGGAGCTCTGTAGGGATGTCCTCTGGGCTCTGTCCAGACTCTTTGGATCCTAATTCTTATTGACATGATGGAGACAGAAAAGCATATTATTGTATTTGAGGATATGAATTTGAAAGGAGTATCCCAAAATATTTACACAGGCTAGAGCACTAGGCTCAAGCAGAGCAAACAGGCTATGGAATGCCAAGTACGCAGGTGCTGGCTGATGAGGAAATGGGATAAGAGCAGGTGCCCGGGAGAGGTGCACAAGGGACAGGTGACCGCACGCAACAGCATCGCCTTGTGAGCTAAGATCAGTTTTTAAATAGAAAAACATGTTGGAACTCACAGCACCATCATCGTCATCGTGATTGTTAGCAGGAGTCCCTCTCCCTGCCACAGGAGCTTGGACTGCAGCAGGCTCAGTCTGGGGACCTGGTCCCACACCCCAGGCTCCTCGGACCACACCGGGCTGTGCCGACGGGTGCCCTGGTGTGCATGGAGTGGAGGTGACCGTCCCTTTCTGTGGGTGACACTTCTTTACTCACGGATGCAGCCGCCTCTTAGGTCACCTGACACTGCCCTTCACTTGCCGTCTCCCAGTTTCTCCGGCCTGGCCCTCCCCCTCCTTCCATGTGGTCTTTCCTGTCTTGTGATACGGTGTGGCTTGGTTCCCAAGGCCACGTATTCTCCCACGGAATGCTGGATTCTGGCAGAGCTGCAGCCAGCAGTCCCCATGCTTCCCCATGGATGCGTCGTCTCTCATCTGGGGGGTGGGGAGGAGCGGCTGGCCGCCTTCGGGTGGATGCATAATTCCTGGTTTTAGATGATGATCCCAAGCACGGAATAGGTCGTTCGTGTCCGGAGCTGCCAAGTAAGCTAGTGGTTGCTCGGCTGCAGGAACAGAAGAATATCAGAACGTCAGAAGCCGCTGGAGATAGGTTCTCATTGTGGACGCGGCACTTCAGGAGCGATAAGGACAGACTCCGCTGCTTTAGGCATTTGGGGACTGCGGAGGCAGCCACGCGCCCGGGGGCTGGTGGGAGTGAGTGGGGAAGGGTGGTTTCCGGAGGACACGGTGCCAGAGTTTGTGTTTCTGACATGCTGTCCTGTGGAGGAGGCACAGAGGTCTTCATTATGGTCCCAAGGTTGCGCAAGGACCGGTGGGCGAACGAGGCCGGCACGGTGCCAGGGAGAGCGGTGGGCGCGGAGCCAGTGTCCCCCAGGAGCTGGCGGACCCCGCATGGCTCCCGGCGTCTGAGCGCGGACGTGCCCGATGCTGTGCTCCCGCCAAGCGGACCCGTCTCCGACCGCAGCGCCCTTCCTCCGGCGGGCACGTGAGGAGCTGTTACCAGACCGCCCAGTTTGTCCTTCTCACTCTTTGTTTTGGTCTCCGCGATATCACAGCCTGCTACGATTCAGACGAACGCTTTGCAGGGTCTGGAAAAGTAGCAGAAGTACCAGGTTTCAGAAACTTCCCCTCAAATGCCTCACAAATTGGATGCAGGTGGCCTTTGAGAGGTGTTTTCTTGATACTTCTCACCACACCACACGATGATCATTTGCCAAGTGAACACATTTACGTGGGGATTTTGAAAAGCTGTAAAGGAGCACCGACTGGCAGTGTTCCTTCCTGGGGACTCATTCGGAGGCCGGGGTGTGGGTGGGCAATCCAAGGCTCCCATCCTGGGGAAACGGTACGGGGCGCCTTCTCTGAGGGAACAGTGTCTCCGCTCACGGGTGCAAACTCTGTTGTTGTAGGAGCTGAAAGGGAACATCAGAGTTCACTGTCGGATCCGTCCTCTGTTGCCCTTCGACAAGGAGTTTGATGATCCAGCCTCACAGGACGGGTAATTTGCTTTTGCACTGGGGCGGGGGTGTGTGTGCAAGTGTGTGCATGTGTGTGCGTGTGTCTGTTTTAAGGAAAAAGAAAGTGCGGCCATTTCCTGTGCCTCCTGTGTTCCTACCCCTGGCCCCAAAGCAGAATTTCTCATGCTCTGGGTGAGGGTTGTTTTATGGAAGGAGCTGAGTAGTTAGCAGGCTGCTGGAATGTGGCTTGAATGTGGCCAGAATTTCTGAGCGAGCTCCTTGTGTGTCGTAGGGGTTCTGCTGCCCGATGGGGTCAGGCTTCTTTCAGCGACTGGCAGGGCCAAGCTCTGGCTGGTCCTTTCTCTGTATGTTAGTGCATCATAGGGGAGGGGTGTCCTTCTTTGTTTACTCCGGAGACCCCTCAGGGGTGCGAGAAGGTCACTAGTGTTGCTGGTATTTGTGACTTAGAGTTCTGATGGTATTACTGAATAACACAGAATTATCGGAAATGGTTTTAGTGGGCTGTTTACTTGAAAACCATACTCAATAGGACTTTCCTTCTTCCTCGGATGAAACAAAGCCGCGTGGAAAGGTCCACCCCGTTGCCTGCGGAATGGATTCCACATTCCGGGCCCTCTGACCACGCAATGCCGCACACTAGCCCCCTGCTTCCCTTAGGTCAGTTTCCTCGGCTCTGCGGCCGGCAGGCACTCACCTCTGCCCTGCAAGTTGGCTCATGTCAGGGTCCTCCCCTTGTCCGCCCAAATCTTGCTCTCCTGGAAGGGCCTCCCTTGCGCCTCACTGATGTTTAAATCACACGGTCTAGCCTGTGACTTTGGAAGGTCTTCCGAAGGCCCTGGGTCGGCCCCGCAGTATGAAACACAGTTTGTACCTCTTCGACAGCGACTGAGCGCTGTTTCCGCCAACGCTTTTGTTTTGCGAGCTTAGTCCTTCCTGAGCTGTGCTGGCTGGGGCCGCAGCCCATGTCAAAGGGCCCGAGAGCGTCGGGAACGCGTGGTAACACCGCCATGGCCGGCCTGCGCGCCGTGCGTCCCGTTGCCTGAGCGACCTTTCAGCCGCTGGGGCCGGGCTGCTTCCATCCTGGCACGAAGGCCTGCTGGACAGTGTTGCTCCCGCTGTTCAGCTTCTCAGCGCTCACCAGAGCCCTCGTGAACTTTCGTTTGTGCTCCTACCTCGCTTACGTTCATTTGACGTTTGCTCTGAAGCACATTGCATTTTTCCAGGTTCCCGATTGCCCCCAAACACTCGAGAGACTGTGCCGTAGGGTTTCTTGTCCATTGGTCACCCCCGAGACTCGGGGTCGAGATGCTATATCACTGCTGTGGCCCACAGGGACTATGGACTAAAGCAGGGGCGTGAGAGAAAACGTTTCCAGAGGACGTGAAAAGGAAGGAGGAGAGGGGAAACTGAGGAACGGGGAGAAAATCAGAGACGTTGATACGAGAGGTATGAGGCACAGAGACTGAGCCAGAGGCAAGGCGGGGACCAGTGGGGAGGACCAGAAAGGGAAAACAAAAGGAGGCCTCAGCAGAAATACGAGTGTTGAAGAGTTTTGGGGTGCCTGGGAGGCTTCAGTCAGTTAAGCGGCCAACTCCTGCTTTCAGCTTAGGTCACGATCTCAGGGTCCTGGGATCAAGCCCCACATTGGGCTCCGTGCTCAGCACAAAGTCTACTTGAGATTCTTTCTCCCTCCCCCTCTGCGCCTTCCCCTCACCCTGCATGCTGGCTCGCTCTCTCTTACGAAGGAAGGAAGGGAGGAAGGAGGGAAGGAAGGAAGGAAGGAAGGGAGGAAGGAAGGAAGGAAGGAAGGAAGGAAGGAAGGAAGGAAGGAAGGAGTGTGAAAGTTTGGATGGTGAGGAAGCAGACGGAAACTCCACGGTGATGTGTATTTTCACTGTCCTCCTGCCCCCAGCTCGGTGCCTGCAGGAGTGGTCCATGCCATTGATGACGTGAGTGACATCCCCAACACAGTCTTTGGAGAAGCTTCCTGTGTGATGGTTCACAGAGTGCCCAGATATTTCCACCCTGAGAGTAATTCAGAGAGCCTCTTGGATAATGCAGGTGGGTTCTGTTGCTTGATTTCCCCAGGAGCGAGAAATTAACGAGGCTCGGGGGCACTTCCCTCGTGTGAAGCCACAAGCTCCTAACTGTGGATGTGTGTGAGGAAAGTCACTTCGCCTACGTTTTACGTTGGTTTCCCAGCTCCCAAATCAGTCAGCACATGCATGAGCGGGACCTGAAGTTTAGAGCATAAGGAAGGAAACACAAGCCTAGAACCGACGCAGCCGAGCGTGACCTGTGTGTTCTAAATTTATGCGATGGCCGTATTTACTACCAGCTCAGGGTTTGTGTTCTCTTCAGAACCTGTGTGTTTATTAGCCTTCTGTACCCAGAAGGCCTGGAAGTAATAGCAGGAACCCCAGCTCCCAGCCTGGCTTCCACGTGCGGGGAAGTGGGGCTCCTCAGGGACCGTGGGTGCAGCGTGCTGGAACATCATCAGTCTATTATTCTAAAAAGTTACAAAGAGGTAAACATTTATGATGCCTTTCCAGGATGAAATGCATTTCAGGGTAAACAAATAGTTGACTAGGGAAAGCTTTTCTTTGTAGAAGAGTCTACTTAATACATTCAGAGTCAGTGATAAAGTTAGAAGTTGGCACTTGAAAGTCCTGATGGCCCTGGAGGATAGTCTTAGGGGTCAGCAGGATCTTCCACACGGAAGGTTCCAGAATTCCTCAGAACCCAGAGCCCTCGAAGTTTCCCTGAAAGCAAGATGCTCAGACATTAGGAAGTGGTGATGAGATGCGGAGGGGTACACAGCCCCATGGTGGAGAGACTGGGCCTCCCAGCTGAGCCTGTATCTAATGGAGCCTCAGGATCTGTCATTCTGAACAGGAGGAAAACAATAAGCCCAGTCAGAATGTGCGACACTTCGCAGGACGACTGACCCGACTTCTCTGAGAAATCGGGAACACCAAGAAGGGAGACAGGACCAGAAGGAGAGACGCACCAGGCTCGTGATCACAGCATCTGAACAAGCCAGCTGTAAGCCACACGTTCTGGGGACAGCCAGAGAAACTGGAATACGTATGGGGTCGTGTTAACTTCAGACAGTGAGATTAGTAATGTGTGGTGGGCATGCGGAAAAAAGAGTCCTCATGGGTTGAATCCAGTGATGATGCTGTCCGATATTTTATTTAAAATATGCCAGAGAACTGGCAGTTGGGTTGAGCATGTGTGTAAAACCAGATGGACCATGTGTCAGCGAGGCTGGGGGACGGCCCGTTATCCTATTGCCCCCTGTTTTGTGCGCGTTTGAGAGTCTCCATCAATGAAAGTTAAAAATCTGCTGGGCTTCTGCGTCCAAGCAGCGTGTCCTGACCGTGGCGGCATGAGCGTAGGAAGCACGTGGGATGTGAACTCTCAGTGGCCTCTAGACGTGGGCCATGTGGAGGCCTCACGTGGCTGCCCCCCACCTCGCCACCGCCACGAGGTGGGCCGTTGGCATGCGTCCTGTGCTGGTCGCCTGCTGTAACCTGCAAGGACTCTTCAGTCTGCGGATTGACGGCTTCATTTTCTACAGAGAGGTCTGGGGAACGGCTGGAGCCCTGTTAAACACCCCGACGGGCGACGGAAGTAAGCACTCTAGAAAGTCCTTGTTTTTAGTTATTTTTTCACCTATCATTGGATGCATTGTGTGTTGCCTGAAACACCAGGAGACAAATTAAATTCTCATTCTTAGGAAGTTGAGTTAAAAGGAGCCCTCGTGATCATCCTGTTAATCGCTTTTCATAGGAGAAGACGCTGAGTTGTGGTGGTTACGTTCTGACCTTTTCTACCCTTCGCGTGGTCTCCGGGCGCCCTGGTGGACCTTCAGGAGTTATTTTTCATTAGGAACACGTCTCCTGAGCCGGGGGCCTGGCCCCCGCGTGCTGAGGACCTGCTGTGCCCCTGTCCCGTGTTATTGCTGCTCTTTGCCCTACAGCCATCCTTGTGACTGTCCCCTCCGGTCCCTGTCCGGGTCCCACTGAAGTTTCAAATTCAGAAGTTGGAGGGTTTTGTGTTTTTTTCCATCTTACCCATCAAGATAAGATAATATTGCTTTTCACTGGGTGATTTTGGTTTTTGTTTAAAGAAATCGGTGGGCTCCAAGATGTTTTCTAGCCTAATGGAGCCGTTTGTTCGGGAACGTGGTGTCACTGACTGCAGATGGGGCCGCATGGTCAGTGCCGTGGCCTGAGGCAAGCTCTTATTTCCAGAGTGGGAAGAGGCTGTGAGTTTGTGTTGGATTTCCTTGCAGCCTGCCGTCGAATTCAACACTGAATAGTTTTGGATTCGACCTGTAAATAGAATCCGTGTCAGATGGAACAGCCACCTGGCCTCTCTCCTGGCTCTCACTGGCTCGTGGGACACTGGGGTCTGCAAGAGCAGGTCGCTGGCTCTGTCTCCTCGTCTGCGGTTCTCCCTTACTCTTCACTCTTACTAAACTGGTCAGTCCGACCATCAGGGACTTGAGTTTCTGAAGGCAGCTGAACAAAGCCTATGGGTCAAAGGATTCTTATGCAAATACCTGCAGCTGAGGTCAAAACTATTTTTGAGAGGTGCTTACAAAGACTGCTGTTTTTAATGATCGAAGTTCTGTACGGTCCTTAACAGATGCCTTGTCCTTTCCGTGGGTTTACCTGGTCCTCGCAGGGTGGCTGGCACCCTCTGCTGCAGCTTCTGGAGGAAGCGGAGATGTGCGGACTCGCCGCAGGAACTCTGGTGTCTGCCCCCCGGGAACGCCCCAGCTCTGCTGAGATGAGGTGAAAAGCAGCTCTCCCGTTTGCGTCCCTGCTCCAGACAGCCCTGAGTCTCAGAACCGATATTCGGGATGGCTCGCATGATCTCCAACCAGAACGTCCAAAACCGAGCTCTTGGTTTCCCCTTTGGACGGACTCGTCTTCCTGTCTCCCTGTCTTTGCAGGTGGTAACTCCATCCACTCGGTTTCTAATGCCCGAAATGGAGTCACCATCGACTCTTGCCCTATCAGCGCTCAGCAGATCCTGGTTCTGCAGGAATCCCCTCCCTGGGTCTCACTTACTCCATTCCCATCGTCTTTGCACTCAGGGCCGCGCTCCCCTCCCTGGAGCTAGCTGACCTGTTCCTCTGTCACCTGCCTGTGTCCGAGCCACTCTGTAGCCGGGAGCAGTCCCTGAAGATGCAGTGGGATCAGATACATGGCCATCTGGCTCGGAACTCCTCCATGAAGTCACAAGAATTTAAGGACAAAGTTGAAAACTCTTGATTCTGACCTCTGTTTTCCCGACCTTCTATGCCACCAGCCCCTTTATGCACCATTTCTGCCACGCTGGCCTTGACCGGGCCCAGCCCTGTGCTGCCTGCCAGACTCTGTGCTTACTTCTCCGGCCAGAACCTCTCCCGTGCTCTGGGCCAGGCCCACCCTCCTCACCTCTGTGCTCAGTATAGACACCACCGCCTGCAAAGGCCGTGCTGGGGGTCCCAGTCTGAAATGCACCATCTACGCACCTCCCTGCATCTGTTCACTTCTTCGGGGTTCTTGGTGGAATTTATCTGCAATTTGTCTGCATCACCCCATGCCGACTTTGCCTCTGTGTTTACCACAAGACCTTCCGGACTGGGTACAGCCTCTATCCATGCACATGAGGGTATGAAACACACACTTCTAGTTCATTCCAGGGCACGGGGGGCTTCCTTATCCATAGCGGGACTGACCAGCGATGGTGGATATCAGAAGGCCCAAGTCACAGGTGAAGGGTGCGGCCTCGACCGTCGCTCGGCTGCAAGAGGCCTATGACCACCTGCTCTTTCCTGCAGTAAAATTGTGCATCTCACGGGGGTTTTCTAGAATCAAGATTTAGTTCCTCAAATATGAACCAAGTCTGAAGAATTGAAATTTGTCGTAACCGCACGTGTGACTTTTACAGACTCGTGGTCAGAGGAAGACGTTTGGATTTTTAAGGAGCTACCAGGATTTGAGGGAGAAATTCTCTTTGTCTTCCTGTCAGTTTACTTCAAATTCATGTTCTTCTCCTATTTCATATTGTGAATCCGGATTCTCAAAGGGTTTGTCCCCCATCCGGTCTTGGGCGTGTGCGCCGTCCCAGGAAAGGACATACTGCCCTGTGGGAGGATGCATCCGCTGCGCCCGAGGGGCTGCCCCGTGGGGGCGTCTGAAGAGCAGCCAGTGTCCGAAGATGACCCTCCTCCACATTATCTACTCCACGAAAGCTCCTAATGTTTCCTTCTTTGATGAACGACGAATTTGATCTGAAGTTTAGAACTGTGGGCCCCTGAGGTGCCGCTGGGCCTGACTCCGCTGCCAACACGTTATACAGACGGTAGGAAATGGGACTTTGAAAGGAAAATGAGCCCCCAGGGTCACACGAGTTGTAGCAGAGTCAGAATTAGCTAGTAGGTTCTGTATTAGTTGTAAAGACCGCTGCGCCTGCTTCTCACCAAAGACCCCAAAGAACCGCAGAGCCTCTGGGCGTCGTGGTCCCGGAGGCCTGGGCAGGGTCCGCCGACAGGCGAGGGGAAGCTGGATGCCCCCGCCAGGCGCTCACGCGTGATGTCCTGTCCCCTCTCCGCCATGTGGAAACTTGCCAGCCCCTCGCCTCGATACACCCCCATGCCCGTGTGCCTGTGTGAGGGGCCGCCCTCCCGGACCGTGTTCCTGATCTCGGAGGGGAACGCATGGCCAGAATGCCTGCAAGCGTAGGGACATTCAGCCCAGCCCGATCGGTCACCAGCACGCTGTGAATGGGGAAGGAAGCAGCAGCTACTTAATAATATTTATTAGCAACACACAAACATAATAAATATATTCCTCCCGCTGTTTTTGAGGAAAAGTAATGCCAACAGGACATGAACACCCTCCTTTGTGTCCTCATCGGGGTCGCAGTAAAACAGCATAACCTACTACCGCTGTGTAAGCCACGGTAGCTGACACAGAAGTTGGCTGCTTCCCGTCTGTGAGCACAGCGTGCGGGGTCCTTGGAACTCCCCTTCTCGGTTACCGGCGTCTCTACCCTTAAGTCATCATAAAGAATGTATGACACATCGTTTGGCACTTGGCATTGGGTACACGACCTGTGGTCTTTGACTCCTGGACGAGACACCAGTGAGCAGGGGGTAGATTTGGGTGGGCGGGGAACAGGTGTCGTGTTCCGGGGATGAGGGGGCAGCCGTGGGTGGAAGGGGAGCTGGGCGGCACCCCGCAGACCAGCTGTAGGGGACAGGCCCTGAGGGATCAGCATTGGCTGGTGTTCCCAGGGATAAGAACCGGGGAAGGAAATAGGGATGCTTAGGGGCGAATTTGCAAACAAAAGGGGCATCTTTGAACTTGTCAGAGGCAGAAAGGTGGGGCGCCCACCGGCAGGCTGACAGTCTCTTGGAGCTGAGCTCAGCGTGCACGAAGAAACAGCCGGATTTGAGCTCAGTCTGTCGCCCATGGGAATGTAGAGCCCAGACGAGAGAGTGGGTTTTCCTGAAGACTTTCATGAGATGCATCAAACACTCCTACAAACCAAGACAAACAATCCACTGGGAACACGCTGAGGCTGTGAGCAGATGGTCCGAGAACACCAGCTGGGCCCTTCTGTCTCTGCACCTCTTTCCAGCCCTGCCCCCTCTGCCGTGCTTACAGATCCTGGTCCCCATGTCAGCCTCTGTGGCCCGGAGGGAGGCCCCCAGGCCTCAGGGCACTTGGAATGCAGCTTGGGCACTCCCCATAGTGTGACCTCTCTGCAGTCAGGTGCTCCCTGAATGACCACATGGGAGCAAGATGACAGATGAGACACAGATGCGACCATCTGGCCTTCCTGTTCTTACCAGGAAGATGTGGGTGACCTTGTACCAGCCACCAAATTTCCCTGGCGTCCTTTCCTCATCTGTGGACCTTGCTGGAATCACCTGGTTTCTTTTTCTTTTTTTTATAGTTTAGAGCACCTCCCCTTGGCTGTTGGGCCACTGGTGCCCGAGGACCTGGGGAGTTTCTCACCATCTGCATCTCCTTGGTGCAGCTCATCGTGTTCCTTTGTCCTCTGCATGTCCTGTGGAGAGGCAGGAGGACCCAGAGGCTTGGCCACACCCAGGTTCCATCCCTGAGGCAGGAAGGGGATGAGTTCTTTATTGGGAGGTGCTTCTCTGTGAAGTGAGCAATGGTAAAGCTCATTCATGTCACCAGGTTGCAAAATGGTGTTAATCTAGCTCTGTCATTCCTTCTTCCTTTACTCCTGGAAACTTTTAAAGAGATACTTCCCCCATGTCCTTGCTGTTACCCAGAGGGACAGTCCATGGGGGTGCTCTGCCCTTTCCCCTTTACTTATTAGCTTTGAAATAATGAAGGGCTCCCTGGCTTCCTGCCCAGGTGACCAGTGAAGGTTTGGGTAAGTGTCATGATGATGGGTTTAGTCCCCTGCATCACTGTCTGCAGCCCAGAGGCCAGGCTCCAGAGTCAGGGAGACCCTGGGACCTTCGGTCCTCACGCTCCGTCTACGCGTCCTCACTCCCCCATATTTTGCAGTTCAGAGGGAAACCTGCCACTTTATAGTAAATGTCCATGGGGTTTGTTTTGTTATCTGGTTGTGCTGTCTGTTTTGTTTTTTTTTTTAAATGCAGGACTTAGGGTGATTCAGAATCCGTGCCTGCTTGTTTATTTTACTAGCATACAAACCTCTATGCATCTATCACCAGTGTGGGAACTGGACATAGCAATGACCCCCCCACCTTAGCTCCCCATCTGAGGCCATCACTACATCAAATCTCATTTGAGCTGTCTTGCATTAAACAGATACTCTAACTATAGATGCTAATAAAACCTATAAATTATACAATATTTATACTTACAATACTTATAAATTAGGTATAAAAATTTACCTAAATTATACTTACAAATAAAACTGTATACACTATAGATGGTTATATGTATATAAATTTTCCTATCTCTATTTGCTCCTAAAAAGTCATTGGTGAGTTTTGGTTGTATTTCAGGGGACTGGGTTTTTCAACTCAACATGATTTTTTTTTTTATAGACAGGTTCTGTGTTTTTTTAAAAAATATTTATTTATTTGAGAGAGAGAGAGACAGAGAGAGCACAAGCAGAGGGAGCGGCAGGCTCCCCACTGAGCAGGGAGCCCGACGCGAGACTCAATCCCAGGGCTCCGGGATCATGACCTGAGCTGAAGGCAGACGCTTCACCCACTGAGCCACCCAGGCGCCCCAGACTCAACATGAATTTGCTGAGATTTATCCGTTTCGATGAAGGTAGTGACCCAGAGGCAACTAGTAAAGACCTATTGACCACAGCGATGACCATCTTTAACTGTTTTAGCTCTTTGGGCCATGGAACCCAAACATCTCCTCCTGGGAGAGGATTGTTGCCTTATGTTTGCAAAGATCACGGCCCATCCAGCAGGTTTCTCGGAATAAGGAGGTGATACTCCCTGAAGATGGTGTTGAGTGCCCGCCTCCCGAGAAGAGAGAACTCAGATATTTGTGGTGGAATCACAGTGCGTCTGACCCTGGCCTCCACTCTCCCCAGCGGAGGTGAGCAAGCTCCCTGTGGTCAGCGTGGAGAAGGCCAAGGACCAGGAAGGAACACCGAAGGGCAGGGCCTTCCATTCTGAATGCCCTTCACTTAGCTCCTCCTGGTCTGAGCATGTGGCAGTTGGATTAAAATTGACTTTTAGTTTCAAAGTGTGAATGGCTGAGTTGATGGCATAGAATTGTACGCCCTGGATGCTTTTGAAAGCTGTCCGAGGGGATTGGATACAGATACGGAAGCAGCTCAGTGTCGGGAGAATGACTTTGTCCATTACTGGCTCTGAGCTGGGCACCTGCCACATGGCGCCCCATGGAGCCTTGGGATTCCATGAGCAAGTGTGTCCGCGCCACAGGGGAGCCCCGAGGGTCTGCCTCCACCACTTAACACATCCGGGCCATTCCCCTCTGGAAGGGAAGGGTGTCGTAGGGCAAGAGCTTGAAATTTTGGATGAAAGGATATTATCTTAAAAGGTCGAGGGCATGGATCTTACTTGTGAGGAGAAGGGATGTTTAGCAGTATGAACGAGGAGGTATTTGTTTGGATAGGCAAGAAAGAACACTTAAGCTGTGTTTGGGAAAATGAAACTTTGCTCTTGGAATCATTTCAGATGTTTAAGATCTAGTGATCACACTGTAGGACGACATTCTAAATAGCTATGGGGAGCTTTTGGACTCAGGCTTGTTTTTGTGGCTTTTTATGTTCCTTATATGGCGTCCCTTGAGCTTTTGGGTGAGACATTGTGAATCTTAGCATTTTTCATTTGTTTTTCTTTATGGTTAAAACTTCAGCGTTGGAAAACATCAGTAAAACACTTTGGGGCGTGTGTTCATCCTGAGGCACTGTGGTTACGTCTTGGCATAATATTAAAGGAATGCCACCACGATCAGGCAACAGAAAAAGGAAAATATGCCTCTGGGAGGGAGCGAGGGACCGAGGCTGGTGGTCAGATTCTGGGTCTGGGAGCCAGGAATCTGGGCTCTGCTCTGAAAACCGTGTCCGTGCCTTTGTCCTGGGGGGTGTCTGAGAGCTCGTTCTTACATCTTCTTTCAGAGCTTGGGAGTGGAAAAGATTGAAGAGCTACTTGTGCATGGAGGATGTTACCACTGTTACATAATATCGCTGTTACCGTGTGGGGATAGACAGCCCCTGAAACCACTCAGGCACACAGTCGGTGCTCGGTAGATACGCAGCGAGAAATGAACTCTCCATTAGCGACTCCCCTGCGAATGAAACCTCCTTCTTGAAAGCTGGGCTGGGACGCGGCCACACACGAGTCTCCGTGTATTGACCAGATTAGGCATCTCGGCAGTTGCGACGCGAAGGAGGCCGCAGTCAGAGGCCCCAGCTCCTTGCTGGCGAGGCCACCTGGACTGGGCTCCAGCCCATGGGCTCTGCTGAACTCTCCGTTACGGGAGCACGCGGCCTCCTCCCCGGCCAGGTGCGACTGACGGCTGGAAGTCAGGACCTGAGCGACCCCCACGGGCGCCCCCGCCGCAGCCTGGCACTCGGCGCTGCCCGCCCCACACACGCTTCTCGTTGTTACACTCTCCTCATCCCCTTCCTGTGCCGTTTACATTTCGGGAAGGTTTCTGAGGCAGCGACACGAAGAGTGAACTGGAAGGACACCAGGCTGGGGACAGAGAGGCCGAGGCAGCAGTGGTGGCGGGTGTCGGCAAGGGGAGAGGGACGCGAGACGCCTGGCTGAATGTGCTGGTGACGTGTCTCACAACCTGACTTCCCCGGATGCCCGCCGGCGCTTATAGCATCTCACCCTCGATTGCGAAGACAGCCAAGGCTCAGCTCTCTGGCGAGATCAGGAAGTAAGCCAGCAGGCTTTGCAGAGTCCACAGGGCACGGCCCCGACCGAGCGGTTGGCAGAAAGTAGGTGACAGCCAACCGCGTGTGGAACAGCCAGCTACCGGGTCCCACAGCTTGTGCGTTCAACGCCTCAACAGGCCGCTTTTTGGACATGCGTTTCTGTTTGCAGGTGGATCTCTCTGTCTCTGTCTCTGTGTTTCTCAAAGCTCCAGTAAGAAGATGGGAACCACATCCTCCAACAGCTGTCATGGAAAAATCAAACGTCTACGGGTTATTCACTGCTGCAATTGTTGGTTTGTTTTTTTACTTCTTTCTATACGCCTGTCTTTTCGTGAATTTGCATTTCGTTTTAGAATTGGAACCCCTTCAAAATATTTATTTTTTCTTTGCCTAAGGACAAGTGACCTAGAGCTGCGTTTCTTGCTAAAGACAGCTTTCCCTTCTCTCCACACACGACGGCACTGAAGATGGTTTAGCAAGAGCAAAAGTGATGTGTTTGAAACAAAGAAAACTTTTAGCACCTGCAGTTATAATTAAATCGTAGCATGTCTGAGGTGGGACTTCTTGAGTCCCGGGCGGGTGAGTCTTACACCTGCCTTGAGCTGTCAGGTGCCCCGAGAGTCGGCGTCCTGGGCGGCTGTGCTTCTTAGAGAAGGAGCCCGCTGTGCAATCCTCCGCAGAGGCGGCTTTCTTCTGCCATCTGCGCCTGGCCCACCATTCCCCTGGAGGGGAAGGAAGGGTCACAGTCTTTGAGGACCATATGGTCTCTGTCTTGTTACTCAATCGTGCAGTCGAGTAAAATGCATCCGTAGACAATCTGTAACCCAGGGTTGGCTGTAGTCCACTAAAACTCCGTTTACGAAAACAAGCGACAGGCCGGATTGGCCCAAGGGCGGTGCTTCGCCAGCCTCTGTCCAGTGTTATCAGCATGGCCCCGGCTGAGTCCTGACGCCTTGTTTCCTCTTTTTTTTATTAGGAAACCGTCCTGGTGAAATGTGATCGGCCTGCTCACCCTTTGATTAATAAGACGTATGATTTCGAGAGGTAAGTGCTTTGATGCCTAAAGCGACGTTACACAAACACGAATTTTGCGTTAGCATTTGGCTCATGAGACTCACAACACGTCCTGCCGTTTGCACTAATTGCCCAGAAGCAAAGACCATTTTGCGGAGCGAGCGAGTCTTTCCAGCCAGTGGTGCTGGAGCCGTGGGGCGACCCCTGCAGACGGGAAGTGACCCTTGATGTGTGTACCACACCTTTTGCAAAAAGTAAGTGAAATGGAATCTAGACCTAGATATGAAGCATAAAACCGTAGAACACAGGAGCTTGAGAAACGCCACTAAAAGCGTGATCTATACACGAAAAAGATCTGCCGGACTCGACCACAATGAAACCGTTCGCTCCGTGTGCGACCTTGTTAGGGGGACGAGCCGGCAAGCCCCACGCCACAGAAACCTCGGGAAATCAGAGCTCCCCGAGCACGTGTACCCAGCAAACAGAACAAACCAGCCGCCTCAGCAGGCGGGCAGAGTGTCGGGACAGAGGCTCCCCCAGAGCGAGATGCTGACGATGAGTTTCCCGGGAAGGTCAGCTGAGAGCCCGGAGAGCCGCCTGCCCCCCGCGTCAGGATGGCCAACCCGTCAGACTGACCGGACCAAGTGCTGGTGGCCTGACATGAAACACATGCTGAGCCTACGACCCAGACATTCCAGAAGAGACCAATCCAGGGGGGAGGAGAGCGGCTGAGAGTCTGTCCGGAGCCAGGAGGCTGGGGAGGGATTGTCACCCGAGAGGCCGCATGAGGGAGTCTCCGGGGAGAGCTGTTCTCCGGGGTGGCGTATGCTGTGCGTCTGTCGAGACCCACAGACCTGTCGCCTCAAAAAGTGAAGTCTTCTCAACGTAGATTTTAAAAATACAACCAATTTTTCAAAGAGACTTTAGGAGACCGAAGAACCGGTTGTGATGTGTGGATCCTGATCAGTCAATAAACTCCTACGCTGTGTTTTACAAGACGGTGACGTGGCCGTGCGCGTTTCTGGTATGGAGCACTGCCGCGGGTCGTCATGGTAACGGGGTCCGCCAGGACCGGACGTACCAGTCTTGCGTGTGATGCCGGAGACTCAGGGTCAGTGACGCCAACACCAGTGGGGCCCCAGGGAGAGAGAAGCAGACCCCTAAGTTTGGTCAGAGATCCCACCTGGTCGGCGACAGACAGAACCAGAATCCAGTGGTCGTGAGCAGAGGCCTCTGGAGCCTGTGTATTTGATCCTGCAAAGTAGAAGTTAACCAGTTTGTCTGTCTTCCCCCAAGATGACGGGAGGACCTTGGAAGGCTCAGGCTTGCACCTTGCAGCCACCTGGTCAGACGCAGAGACCCCCGGGCCATGGGCTCCCCACTGGGCTCAGGGCTCTGGAGCTCCATCACTCCCCCCCGACGTGCTGACCATGTCCGTGAGGACTGGGATGTGGAAGAGGACACGGAGGGGAAGTGTCGCCCCTGGGCCGGCTCTGTGACTGCTGGTGACCCTGCCCGGGAGGGCCGTGCCCTTCACCGCTGGCTGCCACCCCCTCCACATCCTCTCTGGGGACACGCGCTCTCGGGGCCCTGGTGCCGGCGAGGACACAGGAGGGCTCCGGCTGCCAGCCGTCCTGCCACCCCGCTGTGCCAGACGCGGGGTCCCAGGCTTCTCGGCCCCGGAGGGACCCCAGTGGACCAGGAGGGGCAGGCCCATCCACGCAGGGTTCTGGCCCAGGAGGGAAGTCAGACGCGCAGATGCCCACCCTTCAGACCTTCCTGTCACTGCTGTGCTGGCATGAGGGCGCAGGGTCTCGGTCAGACACACCGGCCGGCCGCCTGCGCGCCAGGATCTGTGCCCCGGCGTCTTGTCTGTGTCCCTGAAGCACGTGGTCCCGGGGGATGGTCTGTGAGGCGCACACTCTGGAGTCTTTGCCTTGAACGATCTCATCTGGGCCAAGAGGCTCAGCATGGTGCTTCCCTCCGCACGTGGGAGATTTTCCGCCGCTGTCCCCCAGCTTCCACTGCTGCTGGCCTGGAGCTTGGCGGTCCTTTTGTCGGATGAACACGTCCAGACCTTGTGTGAAGAGACTTTACCTGGAGGGCTGGTCCGGCCAGGGAAGGGATTCCCAGCTCAGGGCCAGAGCTGTCGCCCGGCACGCCTCTGGCCTCAAGGGCTGCCAGCCCCCCGGGTCAGGAGAAGGGCTTCCATTTACAGGAGCGGAGTGGGGGGCTGCCTTGGGGGGGCACTGGTCTTGCCCTGAGGCCAGCCGGTTCTCGGGGGGGAGGGCTGGAAGGAGCCCCCCAGACTCTGATCCGGTCTTTATGGGACTGCTCCACCTGGGGATTTCCCCACCCCAGGGCCGCTATCCATATCCACGTGACCTGCAGGTTTGTGGTTGTGGCTCCTCCTGGAGGGCCCCCCCACCCCATCTGGAGCCCACAGCACCCTCTCTACCATCTCTGTTTATCAGGACCTGCCCTTCAGGCCTCACCCCTGAGGAGGGCCCGGGCCCCCTGTCCCTGTGTGTCGCCCCTCCGGAGGGGCGGGCCCAGCCTGGAGCCCTCCTCCTTGGCTCAGTCTGCCGCCCAGCAGGACAGCGCCAGGTTCTCCACGGTCCGGCGGCCTCTCCGCGTGCTGCTGGAACGTTCCCCTCCCTCCATCCATCCAGGCTGTGTTCTGTATGGCGTTTCTGGTTACGTGTCTTCAGTGTTCGGTGATGTGGAGGGGGGAGGTGGCCACCCCTCCCGAGCCCACCCTGCCACGAGGCAGGTCTTTAATCCACCTCACGTTTATGTGGCCCCTCAGATTGTTCCAAGCCTGTTTGTGCAAATCAAGTCCCTCAACCTTCTCAGGAACACCTGGGCAGGTGCCACAGGTGAGGAAACCAAGGCCCAGCTGGTCACACACCTTTCTGGAGTCAAGTCTGGCCAGCTACCACCTGCAGGAACCGAGAAGGGCTGGCAAGGGCGCTGGGGTGGGGACGCGTCGGCCGGCCGTCACCGGGACCTTGTTTTGGGGAGTAGGGAGGGGGGTGCCCACACCTCACTCAGAAGCCGGGATTTTGGGATGCTTGGCAGCAGTGGTCACAACACGCTGGGGTTTGGACAGACGGGGAAGATCTCAATTGTGCCGTTTGAACAAAAGAAGAAATGAAGGAATGTGCACAAGTCACTGTATATCTAGGTTAAGAAGCAGGAATTTAAATTTAAATCTCCATGGGAATTTGTTCCTGGGAGATACTGTTGTGGTGCTCAGGACTATCTTCCTTCATAAACAGTAGGGCATGCGGGGCTTATGAAACCAGGCCACTGCCTATTTTATAACAGCTTTTTATGGAACTAATAAATGTCACAATATTTTATTTCAGTTCTGAAAGAAAATCTCAACAGTTTCAGTACTTAACCCCTTTTTAAAAATAAATGTGTGTCAAAAGAAAATACACTCCTTACTATTCAGGAAAAATATGAATGGGCCCAGAGTCAGAGGATAGTTGCTGCCTTCTGAGAGGAATAAAAATATGTTATTATTTGTTAAAATGGCAAACTAAAAGTAACAGCCATTGACCCAACATGCCGTAAGAAGAATACTAAGTAATTTTATTGTCTCAAGTCTAATTTATGTATCGGGTGGACGAAGGTGGCTGTGTTCTCTCCTTACGTGCATTTAGGCCATCGTGGACCCGAGGTGTGTTCGTGTGAGTCCCCTGTGGTCGCGAGTTCGAGGCTTCCCCAGCCTCCCACTACATGCAGGCAGAGGGCTATAGGTGAGCCGAAGGCATCCGAACCCAGTCCTGACAACTCAGTTAACCAGGATACAAAATGGTCAAAGGCAGAGAGAAAGAAGAGGGTCAGGGACCCCCGGATGCCTCCAGTGGGGCTGGGCGTGGATTGGAGCTGGTGGGGGGTGCTAGCTCTGTGGAATGAACGCCCTCCACGTGGCCTGGCCTTCCCCCTGCACCTGCAGCTTTTCGCCAGGACACGTTAGCACCTGGGGCTGCAGCCGCCGTGGCCGAAATGTCACCTGCGCCTGGCTTCTCTCGCAGGGGCTGGATGTCTTGTCAGGTGGCTGAGGGCCATGCACGGTCCTTCTCTGTGAGCGCTCAAGTCTCTAGACACTGTTCTCCAAAGAGAGAGAAAGGATTTCTAATATAAAGAGAAACATTAGGAGCATATTTCTACAATAGAAGGAAATGTTAAAGTTTAATACAGAGAGGATTGGCCTTTTTCTTCTCTATTTTTAGGGTATTAATCTTTTATCTGTGATTTAAGTTGCAACTATTTTTCGAGTTTGTATTCTTTTCCTGAAATCTCTTAGCCATGCAAAAGCTTTCTCCCCTTTAACTTAAGTATAGTTACAAAGGTCACCAGGTTAGAGAAAAATATACCCAGGTGTTCTAGTAATCGTGTGCTTTATTTTTGACATTAAACTTGTGATCCATTTGGGATGTATCCTAGAATAATTAATGTCTAAGGAATGGATCCAGTTTCACCTTTTTCCATGTACCTCCCCAGTTACAGGGACATCACTTAGGGAAACAATCTTTCCCTGCTAATCTGAGACGTCTCCTTTATCCTACAACTGCCAGGCACAGTTGGGTCTAGTTCTGCGTTTGTCTTGGACACCCTCGGGTGCTAGCAGGTGCAAGCGGCTGCGGGCTGCACAGCCCTCCCCCACCCCCATCTTATGGAACCAGTTGCTTCATTGTGTCCAACTGCTGACCTCCTGAGTGATGACTCAATACAACGTTACCAAGTGTGGGTGGCAGGACCTTTGACCTTGGCTTCATGTTGGTGGAAAAGACCTGAGTGTTTATGTAAGACGCTCATCACCAAGCCTAAACTATTTACTATTTAGGAAAAGTTTGCCGACCCCTGCAGTAGATTAGAAATTTAGAAGACATTCGGCCAGCAGCCACAGGAATGCCGTGTTTGAATCATGAGTTTTAAAAACTGACAGGGAAAGTAAGCTTACCAGGGAACTGGAGAAATGTCAGAGAACATGGACTGACTTTGGGGGATGATATTGAGGGATTACCGTTAATTTTTTTAAATGTGCTAATGGTAGCGTCATGATGTTTTCTGGAAGTCTTCATCCTTTTCAGATACATACTGAAACGTTTTCGAGGTCAGCTTCTCCAGGCTCCAAATGGAGGGCTGCGGACTTGCGCCAAGTAGCAGGCCGTGGGAATTCAGTGATAAGTTAAAAAAAAAGATTCAAGGGGCCCCTGGGTGGCTCAGTCTATTAAGTGTCTGACTCTTGGTTTCGGCTCAGGTCATGATCTCAGGGTCGTGGGATCAAGCCCCACATTCAATGGACATTCTGCTGAGTGCAGAGCCTGCCTGAGATTCTCTCTCTCTCTCCCTCTGCTCCTGCCCACACCCCTGCTCTCTCCCAAATAATAAATAAATCTTCAAAAAAAAAAAAGGATTCAAGGCGCCTGGGTGGCTTAGTTGGTTAAGCATCCGACTCTTGGTTTCGGCTCAGGTCATGATCTCAGGGTTGTGAGATCATTATAGCCCTGTTTCCGCCTGTGGCGCCCCAGCACCTAAAGCACATTGTGGGCACCCGAAAGGCACAGGATGTGACAGGTCAGGTCCCTGTGGGAACCCCATGCTTCCCTGCTGCACACACAGCCTTGCACTAGGCTCCACACTCAGCAGGGAGTCTGCTGGAGATTCTTTCTCTCCCTCTACCCCCCATTCCCCTGCGTGTTCTCTCTCTCTCTCACAAGTAAATACATAAATAAAAATTAAAAAAAAAAAGATTCAAGAGCTCAGCATCACACCACTTGCCCCAAATGCCCTCCTGATCATGCATAATAAGCAACATTTAAAAAAATTTTTTTTTAAAGATTTTATTTATTTATTTGACAGAGAGATAGAAGAGCACAAGCAGAGGGAGTGGCAGAGGGAGAGGGAGAAGCAGGCTCTGCACTGAGCAGGGAACCCGATGCGGGACTCGATCCCAGGACCCTGAGATCATGACCTGAGCTGAAGGCAGACACTTAACCATCTGAGCCACCCAGGCGCCCCATAATAAGCAACATTTTATACGTTTAAAATTACTCCTGCTTCTAGAAATACTATGGATCAATTGGACATTATGACACATTCTGAAAATGAAAGAAGAGAAACATTTGGTACCAGCTAAATAAAAGCCTGTATTTCAGGCATCTAAGCTTAAATGCAAAGCACATTGGATTCAATACAACTGACCAGTAGTGCTTATTTCATATATTTGGTAGTCTGGCACAAATTCTGCTCTTCAGCTGCATCCTAATCTTGTTTCAAATTGTGCAGTGAGCTGCATTTCTTAGAAGTTCCTTCCTACTTAGCTGTATTTGTGCGCGCTTATAAACACAGAACCACATCGGATTCCCCCTTCCATAGTAGACATTCCAGTCCCATGACGCATATGGACATTCTGCTGAACTAACCTGGGGCCTAGGAAAACAATGCTTTGGAGAGCTTGAAAATAAAAATTAAATACTACATATCCGATGTTGCCCAGAGTATGATTTTTACATTATTCTTGTTGGACCCACTTAAGTGGAGCTAATTTAGTCCCAGGATAATTACATGGTATCCTTTCTTTTTTTCTTGCTGGCTTGCTTTTTCTTTCTGCTTTGCCAGCATTCATAATTGTGTTTTATAACAGAGGAGACATTTCTTCAGTCTTCCTTAACCTCTGTTAGCCTGAAAGGTAATGGGATGGATCTCCAATTGTTACAAAGATGGATCTTGACTGTGTTGGGGGCTTAGATGGGAAGTGGATAAGGCTCTCGTTATTAGCAGGGTTTCATATTTGGTTACTAATGTAAATCTCTTGTTCTTCCAATAATGCGTCATTTTTCCCTTTGCCTCTCAGAGTTTATGGCCCAGCAGAATCTCAGCAAGTGGTATTTGGGGATGTGTGCCCGCTGCTTACGTCTCTCTTAGATGGGTGAGTTAAAATATCTTCAAGGCCAGGGATCACAGTTACGAGTAACTGTAAGTAGATCTCATTCATGCTACACAATGAATGTGTGACGTTACAGTCTGAATATGATGGCAGAGCAAACCTGTAGCCCCGTGTCGATTAGTGTCCATGGGGGGCGGGGGAGTAGGTCTGTGTGCCAGGAAGAGGGCCACCCAGGACTTGAGGAATGGCTGTCATGGACACCTACTCCCTGGTTCTAGTGACACGTGAAGGCTGTGAGCAGTTGTCCTTGTGCTCTCTGGGACTTTTTCTGCATTTTAGAATTTTCAGAAAGTCTGTGGAGCGTGTTAACACTGGACTGAGGAACTTGTGATCCCTTTGGGACGGAGCCTCTGGCCCCGGACCCGTGACCACCGATTCCCAAGGTCACATCTTCTGAGTAAAGATCGCGTCTTTAGCAACAAATGGAACCAGATTCGTGTGGCTGAGACACAATATGCCAAGGCTTCCTACTTTGGGGTGCTGGGAAGGACCCCAGTTTGGTGGAGGAGTCTGCGTTCAGTGTCCTGAAGAAGCCATATTCGTGTTTGCCCAGCAAAGCTCCTGCACAGCCCAAGTCCACAAACTAGAGGCTGTCGTCATAGCCCTGTTCCCGCCCGTGGCGCCCCAGCACCTAAAGCACATTGTGGGCGCCCGAAAGGCGCAGGATGTGACAGGTCAGGTTCTTGTGGGATCCCCATGCCTCCTGCTGCAGACACCTGCAGGGCTGAGCCTCCCACAATGATGCAGTTTCTCCTTGCACCCTTCTTCTGGAATGCTGGGGCTTTTAGACCCATCCAAAAAAAGTTCTTCCATGGAAAATGATAGGAGGGCTCTTGTTCTTTTTTTAAGTAGGCCTCTTTTAAGTAAGCAGATTCCAGAAATAAAAAAGGCATAGTGGTTAAATGATCTTTGCCAGAGCTGCCTTTCCGTTTTAAATGTGAAACAGATGGCATTATTTTGAGTCCTGAGCTGCTTTCTTCAAGAGACTTCTTTCCTCTCTGCATTCCTCAAGGGCTCGTAAGGTCCCCGTAAGAGCTGGTGACCCGCTGAGACCAAGGTATTCCCACCGGAGAAGTGCACCATCATCTCCTCAGGGAAGGTCTGAGATACAGAATGCAGTGAGGTTTTTCTTGTAAAGACCTTGAGACTTTTCAATTCCGGAAGACAAACAATGTAGGGTGGTAACTCTGAGGTGCTGGGTTGGTCTTTGCCCTAATATGCTTCCTGCTGGACTAGAACAGTCGGTCCTGGAGCCGGAGCGCTCCTCACAGTCCTGGCATCCTTCACAGCCTCACTGGTGTGACTTGCTGGGAGTGCCTCAGGCTAAATAGCCCGTCTGCTTAAAGGTCGATCCATGAAATCAGAGTCTTGAGGTGGGGCCTGCGTGGGGACGGTCTCGTCCCCTCCGTGATGCAAAGGGGGGTTCAGGCCTTAGGATTCAGCCCCTGTAGGTCTGGATCACCCGCACTTTCATGGCCAAGATTATACATTTATATCATTTATATATTTGTATCAAATCTATACCCTATCATATAAATTTATATCCATTTTCAAATGTTCTTTCGATGTTCCGATCTTCCCATTGACATCTTGGGCTGAAGAAACAGCTGGGAGGGAATGCAGGGAGCCAGCAACCATCCCTGTCCTCTGTGACGTGACCCCGAGCTGTGGGGAGCAGGGGGCAGTGCCCCTGTCACGGAGACCGTGTTGGTGCATTCTGGCTGACTGCGGAGGTGGAGTCCCCGCGTCCCCTGCAATGCCGAAGTCTCAGAATATGTAACAAATGATAGCCGTGCTCGCCGTCCTATATGTGATGGGGAAATATTTGTAGAAAACCACAGGGAAGTGTCACATGCATTAGGAGAAGCCCCAGTTTAGCAAGATGAGCTTGCTTTGGGCGGCCCCAGCTCTGCACTGACGGAGTGGACGGGGTGGACGAGGGGTCTTGCTCAGGGTGGGACCCCCCCCGTGGACCTTGAGCACAGGGCGCCAGCAGTGGGTGCCCAGAGGAAATGTCAAATCACCGAGGAGCAGCAGGTGCCGACAAGGAGCGTGTTAAGCGCGTGTAAAGGGGAGTGTGGTTCAGCCCAATGCTGTGTAATCAAACAACAGCAGGGACTCTGCAAAAACACAGCTCCAGTCCTATGAAAGCCTGCTTTGTAAGGGATGGAGTAACAGAGGAATGCAGAGCGACACGTATCAAAGTTTCCATCCGAGGGAACGTTGTTCTTAGAACCCAGTTACGGCAGGAGACCTCTGTGTGGGTTGCAGCGCTGACATTTGTGTTGGGTTTCAGGTACAACGTCTGCGTTCTGGCTTATGGACAGACAGGATGTGGCAAGAGCTACACCATGTTGGGTCCACATTCTAAGAAGGCGCGCATCCCCCCATGGGGCCCGCACAGCGACCTCGGAATCATGCCCAGGGCTGCTGGAGAGCTCTTCAGGTACCTGGGGGCAGTGGGCAGAGGCCCAGAGCAGCAGGGAGTGTGGGAGGCCAGCAGCACCGGGAAGGGGCACGGCGGACGGCTCCCGTTTGCGGAGACCACACCTGACGCTCCTGTCGGAACCCACTACGGTCCAACGTTTAAATACTCCGGGCCTCCGCACCACAAACACTAGAAATTCTTATGGCACATTCATGTTGAAATTCTGTCGTTAAGACAAAACTTTTTTTTTTTAAGGGTTGCTTTTTTCTTTTTTTAAGATTTTATTATTTGTTTTGGGGGGGAGGGGCAGAGGGAGAGAGAGAACCTCAAGCAGATTCCCAGCTGAGCATAGAGCCTGACTCAAGGCTTGATCCCACGACCCTGAGATCATGACCTGAGCCGAAATCAGGAGTTGGACTCTTAAGCAACTGAGCCCCCCTGGGGCCCCAAATCGAAACTTTTTGAAAGAGATCCCTAGCTGGACAATTTCCCTGTTCAGGAGAGGATGGAGCATGGAGGTTTTCTGTCCTAGAATGGGACGGGGACAGCGGGAGACCCCCGTTGTCTTTTCCTTGCCTCCTGGCCCTGGAAAGAGCCGACACATCTGGTTTTCTTCTTCGGAGTTACAGCGAGCTGGGCATGTTGAAGATGCTTCTGTTCTGGGAAAACATCCCTGGAAGAGACCCACTGCATTTTCATGATTTTACCAATACAATTACTCCTGGAAAAAATTAGTAACAAGTTGTCCTTGGCAGCCCAAGTTACCAGGGGATCCTGGAATAAAGCCATGACATTCCATCTTCTAGGCCTGGACACAGACTGTCCCGGCCTCCAGGGGCCTCCAGGAGGTCTCCGGGGGAGCCGGGGGCCTTCCGTGCTGCCCGCCCCCTGGATTCGGTTTCTCGCTCTGTGTCTCCTTGCTGAGCCTTTCCGTGTCTTAAAATTGCAGCCAGACAAAGACATAAGAACTCCCACACAGCCTAATGTTTTGGAGCCTCTTCAAACCAATATTCCTTAAGTATTAGTACACATAGAAAATGCATTTATTAAGTTTACTTGTACTAACTACTTCTGAAGAGGACCTGTCAGGGCAGGTGAGGCTGGGCTGTGTAACAACCATTCTGGAAATCTCAGTGGCCACGAGGCCAGTGTGGGGTGCCACGCGGGGCCGCCACTCCCAAGTGTGTGCTTGTGGGTTGTCGGAGGTGGGGGAGGAGGTCTCGGGCGTGTGGCCAGCCTGCAGACTTCTCCTGGGAGGAACACGTCAACCCTGCCTCATTGCCTCGGCCCAAGAAGGCGCGTGGCCGCGGGCCGCCTCGGGGGTCCCTGGGGTGGGGCTGCGGATCTCGGGTCCCAGAGCTCTCCCTCTGGGGACATGGCACTGCATCGGGTGTTTGCTCTGGTTCCAGAATCTCAAGGGGCTGGGACTGCAGTGTGAGTCCCAGACATGCTCTGCAGGGCTGGTGCTGGTGGGAGAGCCGTGTGCCCCCTCCGGGGAGACCTCATCGGGCCACGCAGCAGCCACATTGGCCGGAAGCTAAGCAGCGGCCACGTGAGACCACGGCAGAGCTGCAGCAGCTCTGGGCTTTCCTGGGGGTCATGTGGAAGGAGGGGTCCCGGAGAGACCAGGGGTCAGGAGAAGAGCTTGCAGGGTCTGCCACGCAGAAGGGCCTGGGGGCCACTGCCGTTCCAGGCTCTGGGGCCCTGGCGGGAGCCTGCCAACCACCCTTCCAGCGCCCTGTGCTCATTGGCACCCTTGGCGTCGTGAAGGTGCCTGGCTCCTTCCAGCCCAGTGACACCACAGCCTTTGTGGCAGATCTCGGCTTATCAGCAGACGTGAGGAGCTTTCTACCTGCCAGGCTGAACGAACAAGGAGTCCAGAGAATGCGTGTGATAATTTCCAGCCCTCGAAAAGCCCAGAACGAACACAGAGAAGATCCAGGAGGATGCGCAGGACCAGGGGTGGCCCTCCCACCCGCCCTGCCTCAGGGCTCCCCCCTTTGTAACCTCACGGGGAGCCCACACGTATTTTTGTGTAAAACGCACTACAGCAGGCGTCCTGCCTACTAAACACTCGGCTTCTTCACGGCAAAGACCGAAGACCACGTTTCAACACCGTTCGCAGAGTCTAGCAAACTACCGAACACCAGAGAGACAAACGAACCAATGCATGGAGCAGATCAAGTACTTAAGTAAATGGGAGGAAATCTTCAAATCAGCTCCCTGGTATTATGTAGATAAGAAATTTCGAATTCGGGTTTTGTGACGCCCAAAGACACGGCCGTTCACACGAGGGGATGGAGCCACACGCCGAGGTCAGGTTTACGTGAGCGTGTTCTCGAGAGCGGAGGGAGGGACGCCCAGCCCCCAGCTCAGCTGACGTAGCTCTTCGCTCTTCCCACAGTTACTCTTCTTAGAGTCTTTCTTCTCTGCAGACCCCAGCGTGGAGGACGATCCAAATCCGAACTCTGTGCCGAAAATTATTTTCACTGGAGAATTTATTTTTTTCTTTCATCTTAGTCTTTCTCGTTTCCTTGACTGTATCACCAGAAGACATTAATTGCTCATTCTATCTTGGCTCTCTGTAGCTCCTCGGTAAACTCCATCTATCCATGCTTGCGTAAGACACACCAGGCTGCGTGTTTTCTCGGCAGACACCCTCCTCCCACGCTGGACTTCCAGCCCCAGATCCAGAATTTCTTTGTGGACAAGAAAGCACCGTACTCAGACTCAGACTGGTCTCACTGAGCACGTGTCAGATGAGCAACGATCCCCAGAAGGCAGGGGCGGCCTCCGTGGGCTGTGGGAGTTTTGTGGAAAGGCGCTAGCAGGGGCGTGGGCGGGAGGAGCTGGGCTGGTGGTCACTCTTGCCCTGACTAGGGTTATGGGGTTTTTCTCTAAGCGGGTAGTATCTGTATTTTTAAACCTTTCCATGGTTAGCACATAGCACTTTACAAGATGAAACAGAAGAAGACGTGCAGTGGTTTCTAAGAGGCTGGGTAGGTTGTCAGGAGGTCCTGGCAGGGCTTGGCTGGCGGTCTGGGCGCAAGCCGGGCTGCGGCAGGAGCTGGCACCCAGTCCTCCCTGGAACGGAGCAAACCCCAGCCCCGGGAAGGTGCTGAGCCCTCCTGTCCTGGCAGCCAGCTTTGGGCTTCTGTGTGGTGATGAGACTCGGCCAAGGGGCTTTCTGCATGGAGGCTGCATGGTCTCCCTGCACCCTCCCCTCGTGGGCCTGGGATCCTAAGGGTCCCTACCGATGGCAGAAATAATTGATTCAGATACGGCTCAGATAAAGCAGCTGTTCCCAAGACAGTTGCTTACCCTGCGGTTCGAAGAGAATTCGCTTTCTTCCCGCTGGTGGTAAGACGCTGCCCGGTACTCGCGGGCTGGGGGTCTCGCTGCGTGTCCCGGACGGCAGCCTGTCCTGTGAGAGTGCGTCCCCTACAGCTTTCTTCACGGGGCCGCCCCAGTTCCCGTGGTGGCTGATCCCTCGTGTCCCCATCCCCCAGGCTTATTTCAGAAAACCCATCAAAGAGCCTGAAGGTTGACGTGTCCATAGTGGAAGTGTATAATAACGACATTCTTGACCTTCTGGCCAAAGAGCGCCGCACGGAGGTGTCTGGGCCCAAGCGTGACGCACCGACAAGCAAGGCAGCAAAGCGGGAGGTCTCTCCGCCAACCCGGCAGTGAGTGTTCAGCCGTGGCCGGCTTCTCTGAGCGGCCGGCAGCCTCACCGGGACCCCATTATCGCTGAAAGGGTTCGCGGTGTTGTTGCACTTAGGGTGTGTCGTGCATTTTTCCGTTTGCTTTAGAAATTATCTTTAAAATCACAGTTGAAACAGACACGTTAATTAACCTTTTAAAATATCTTGATGACAAATGTGTGACAGGTCCCATCCTCATATTCCAGATGAGGGAGCGAGCTTGGAGAAGTGGACTTCCCCGCGGTCCCGCCATTAAGTATAAACGTCCTCATTTCCGCTTGTACATGTCAATATTTGATAGAATACAGTAATCATTCATCTTGTAAATAGGGAAGGCTCCTCATATTTTTAAAAATATTTTATTTATTTATTTGACAGAGACAGTGAGAGAGGGAACACAAGCAGGGGGGGTAGGAGAGGGAGAAGCAGGCTTCCCGCCGAGCAGGGAGCCCGACGCGGGGCTCGATCCCAGGACCCCGGGATCATGACCTGAGCCGAAGGCAGACGCTTAACGACTGAGCCACCCAGGGGCCCGAAGTCTCCTCATATTGATTAAAGACACTCCCCAAAGTTGCCTGTTCCCTGAGTCCACATCTGGGTATCCAGTTTGCTCACGGGGGGCGGGGGAAGGCTGTCTCCCCTTGTTTGATGAGGGTTAGGGTAGCAAGCCTGTCCTGGGATCTCAGAGTCAGTAAGGGAAGGGTCTGCAGCTGTTTTTAGCATCTGAAAAAAACCTGCAGGATGGTACAGTGAACCATAAGTTTGCACAAGGTAACCAGAACTCTCAGCTTTTGACTAATAAGACTCAGAACAACATAGGTCCCGCTGATGGAAATTTCTGATTAGCTGTCATCTCTCACTAACTAAAATAGGGAAATGGACTTTTATTGGAGTCCACGGGGTGTCCTGAAACAGTTGATTATTCCAGAGTAAAGCAGTTCATGACACGTCAGTCAGGCCTCAGAAAAGGAAGGCGTTTGATTTGCTGTTTTATTTTGTCTAAGGTGTGCTTCAGTCCGCTTTCCTACAACAGGTCCCCTTGGTCTGGGTGAGAGGGTGGGGGGCGTCCCTTGCTGCCACCCCAGGCGCGCTCCCCATCACTCGGACTCTCTGCCAGGCCTGTCCACAGTGCGGAGGACTTCATCGCGCTCGCCGCCGGAAGCCTGCAGCTCAGGGCGCAGCTCGCCACCCAAGTGCACGCCCGTTCTTCTAGATCCCACCTGATAATAACGGCCACTCTCACCGCAGCCTCCCCCTGCGACAGCCCCGGTAAGTGGCCGTGTGCGCCTGGGCAGGGGCATGGAAGAGAAGTTGCACGGAGCCCGAGGGTGGGAATTGCAAACACTCCTTTGGAGGGTCTGGAACCCAGGCTGAGAAGAGAGGGGATCAGGGTGAGGGACGGAGGAAAGGCTTTGTTAAATAGGATATAACACGAGGAGAATGGGCGTATTTGTATCTGGGAATACGATGCCCGAGTCGTGAGTGTGATTTGGGTTTAGAAAGTCACAAACCAGTGTATACAATGGTGCCAGTTATGTAAGAAAAGTAAGGCATGGGTTGCAAGGGTCTGGACGTCCTAGTCGGTGAAGACTGGGCCAGCACACAGGGTCGTCTGTGGGACTCGCGAAGCCCAAGGCCCCCAGGCTGGGATGGACGGGCCGAGGACCTGAATTTCTGTAGGCTCCCGGTGCCAGAGTCCACGGGCAGAGGATGGCTGGTCCAGGGCCTACTTCACTTGCGGTCACACAGATGTCTGGTCGCGGGGGGGGGGGGGGGCGACACGCCCCTGACCTGTGGCCGCCGAGGTGGTCCAGGCAAGGGAGGACGGGGGGTTGGGGGGTCAGTGCAGAGATTCCTGACTGCCCTGCACCCCCCAGACTCGGCCGGATGAGTCCCAGGACCGGGCGCACCTGCAGGGAGGGCGGGGCCATGGGTGGGCAGGTGCTGTCCAGGGAGCCCACAGCCACTAGCCACACGGGAGAAGGCCGTGGAGACCAGAGTGGATTTTATGTAGTTCTTTCTTTTTTTGTAAATTATGTGTATTTTTTATGCTTTCCACAGTGAGTATATTATTTAGATTAAAAAAAATCCCTTTAGGAAGTCTGTTTAGGAATAATGCTCGATGAAATGGACACACACGGCAAAATGAAGACCAGTTTTGTCAGGATTTCTGTGGGGGTCTAGGAAACAAGGGTGGAGTTTACCTCTGTCAGGGCCCATCGGGTATTAATCTGTGTCATTACCGAGTATTTCTGGGAACGTCATTTGGTGCTCATGAGACTACGTGGGCACTGGCCTCCCTCTCCCTGTTTTACCCAGAGAAGCCCCTCCCCGTGGCCAGCCCCCCACCCCGGAGTGTGGTCCTTCGGGATGAGGGCCCACTCTTCGGCGCTGCGGGAAGCTGAGGGAGGCTTTGTGGACGTCACTCCCGGGTACATGTCACCCCCTTGCAGCTGACCGGCAGTCACCTGGACCACCGCTCGAGGGGCGGCCAGCCTGGGGCAGAGCGTCGCCCGGGTCCCCGGGGGCCCAGCGACCCGCGGAACAGGTGCATGCCAAGCTGCAGCTCGTGGACCTGGCGGGCAGCGAGTGTGTGGGTGAGCGCAGAGCCTCTGTCCGGGGCGAGCGGGGATGTGGGGCGTCCTGAGCATGGCCCCCGTCTGCAGTGAGCTCACAGCTGCTCCTCCCAGTGGGCAGCTGTCTTTCCATGGCTGCCAGACGTGCTCGTCCCAGAGCGATGCCCCCCCCACGGCTCTTCAGCGGCCAGCCCATTCCCAGTCGAGGCCATGCAGGAGGTCAGAGGAGGACGCCGATGGGACTGAGGGGCTCCCCACTCAGTGCTCCCTTCCTGAGAAGCGACAGTTTTGCTTTCCCTCGTTCATTTCTTGGTGTTGCCAGAGAATTCGTTGCCCATGCTAACCACGTGGCTGGGTCTTCGTGCTTTCCCAGGTGTGTCTGGAGTGACAGGATCGGCCCTGAGGGAGACTTCGTTCATAAACCGGAGCCTGGCCGCCCTCGCGGACGTCCTGGGGGCCCTGTCGGAGCGCAGAGGCCACATCCCATACCGCAACAGCCAGCTCACCCACTTTCTCCAGGACGTTCTTGGTAACGTAAGGGCCCCCCAGAGGCCCCCGACCACAGGACCCCCGGGAGGTGGCACGGCACACTCCCTCCCCTGGGGGGCTCACTCCTCCTGGCCGTACCTCCTTGGGGGACTTCCTGGGCCCCCAGGTCACTGTTGTCCCCTCCCAGAGTATTTTCAGCGCTATTCTCCGTGTCGCTGTGCACTGGGTTGCTTGGTTTGCACGTGCCTGGCCAGCCCTCCAAGTAGGTCCTCCGCTCCTCGCAGGGCCGCCTCCGCATCCTGTGTCCCATCCTGTCGGGCGCGTGGTGGGCTGCAGCTCACCCTGAGGATAGCTGGGGTAGAATGTTCTAGGCTTTCTATGCGTCTCATCCTGGCGTCTCCTCTCTCTCACTGCAGATGGGCTTTCTCCACAGGAAGAGGCAGGGCTGCATCCAGGGTTCATGTTTCGGCTTCTCCCTCTAGGAGGGCCCCTGATGCGTGAGGCTGGGCGCGGGGCAGCGGGGCCCCCGGGAGACACACACAGCCCTTGCTGTGGCCTCCCAGTGTCTGCGTGGTTCGCCTCCCCGTCCTTCCGTCCTTCCCTCTCCCTTGTCCCTGGGTTTGCTTTTCCTCCCAGGCCGCTCAGCACCCCCTGTTGTCCAACAGGCTGAGGAGCCCTGGGTGCTCTGGCTGGGGGACCCCGCCATCACGTGCCCTCACCAGGAGCGACCCACGCCCAGGCCCGCGCCCCCGAAGCCGGCGTCCGACTCCACGTGGGCTCCGCAGTAGCTTAGCCATGCCGGGTTTCTCTTGGGCTCTTTCACCTGCCGTTGCTTCTTATTTTAAAGGAGGTGACGCAAAGCTCCTGGTGATTCTGTGCGTGTCCCCCTGCCGGACGCACGTGGCAGAAACGCTGCGGTGCCTGGGGTTCGGGGCCCGGGTGAGGCAAGTGCAGGGAGGCCAAGCTGGAGAGGGCAGTGTAGCCCCCCGGAAACCCAGGTGAAGCAGGAGCCGTGGGCGGGTTGCCCGTTAATGGGCTTTGTGCCCTTACGACGAGTTTCCTGTCATTCCTTGACAATGTATGTGCCCTAACACAAGCTCCTTGACTTTGGACTTCATAAGCCTGTTGTTTTCCAAGGAACCAGTGACACGCTGACCCGTCATCAGGGAGCAGGAGACGCCCAGCAAGAAGCGGGGGGGACGGGGACGTGGCGGCCGAGCAGAAGGAGCTGTGCTGTCTGCCGACCAGCAGGGAAGGTGCGCAGACCAGACGATCCGGGGTCGGAGTGCAGTTCCAGAACCACAGTCCCGGGCTCTCGTGCCGGCCGCCTGACCCGGACACTTTCCTCAGCCCGTAAAGCCCCGTTCCCTCGTCTGTAAGACGCCTTGCGCAAACACGCCACCAAGAGCAGATGTTTCATGTTATTGCTCCTCCTCGTAATGACCCGTCGTCCCAAGCCGACGTCCCAGCGCTGGCCATGACGCGTGACACGTGGTGGGCCACAGGCTCTCAGCGTGGGGGCCGTGCGTGGGATCCAGGGGCCCTGGGAACTCGGATGCGGCGCGAGCACCCGCCCCGACCGGGGGCCGCGCGCGGATGCGGTGTGCATGTCTCGGTGTCAGCCCGGCGGCGCAGACTCCTTGGGTGGAAGCCGCTCCGAGCCGTGCCCACGGGCGTGCGGGCCTCACAGACCAACAGGACGCGTGGCCATGCTCTCACCACACGTGCGGCCCTGGAAGTGAGGCTCAGACGCAGGTCCCCGGGGATGCTTCCGGACCACGAGTGGCTTAAGTGTGAGGAAAACCCGTTCAGACCTCAGCCTGTTTTATGTAAGAGTGAGCAAAATGTGTTTTCTAGCGATTAGCACGAACCCAGCAGGCCTGCTCCGTGCATGTGTCTCCGGGGACGGTGTGCGTGGCCCTGAGGGAGGCACGAGGACCCACGCCTGCCTCAGTCCCCCCGGGGTGCATCCAGGGCCTCGCTCCTCACCGGCCTTCCCGTTCCTTCCCGCACCGCCCGGGGCCCAGTTCCTGCCGGGCTCCGGGACACGGGGTGCGAGGCTGGGCCCGCTGCAGGTCACGGGGCGGGGCGTCCCCTGCGGGAGAAGGACACCGCAGAGGGCGGGGCGGGGCCGGGTCATGTAGACGATGGGGAGGGTGACAGATCGATCGGCTGCTAGAGGACAGACCACGGTGAGCGCTCCTGGGCGTGTGCGCGCCCCATGAGCGGGACGGAGACCGCAGCACGTGGACACAGTGTTCCAGTCCTGACACAAACGTCGTCAGCAGCATGGCTGCTGGGGACACGATTTCCCAAAAAGCCGAAAACTCAGCAAAGTTACAGACAGATCCGTTTTAGAGGCTCTGACACAGAGAGACTCCCCACCGCGGAGTCGGGTGACGGGGACAGAACCCACCCCCTGTCCGCGAGGGCGGCCCCAGACCGGGTGTGCCCCCGGGAGCCCCTCCACACCCAGCCTGTGCGGGACGCGTTGCTGCCATCCCAAGGCAGGTAGGGGACCGCCAGGGCCGGCTGGAGAGTGACCACGCGGGTCCTCGGCCACTCATTGGGGCGCGGCCCACTGCCTGCCGAGAACAGTCTTTCTTCCTTGCACGCGCTGTGAGTGGCCACCTCTGCACCATCCATGCCCCCTGCAGCCCAGCGTCCTGTGCCCACCGCCCCCGACGCCCCCTCAGGACGGTCCCGCGAGACGGTCACGGGCCTCTGGAAGCTGAGGCAGTTACGGCCGACAGGGCAGGGACAGGGCATTTGGGGCAGGCGGAGAGCGTGCACACAGGCTCACCGCCTGGATGCGTGCTCCGGGCCCCTGTCTGCACGTGGCCATGGCCGTGGCCGTGTGAGCCCCCAGGCCTCGGGGTGGCCGAGCACCAGCCTCAGAGCCGCCGCTCCGTGCTGGCGTGATGACCGTGCAAGCCTCGCCTCCGACTGGGCGTGTTTGGCAGAGGCGGAGAACACTTCATCGTGGGGGAAGTGGGAACTGAGCTTGGCCTCGCGGCCCCTGTCACCATCGGGACGCCAGAGCGCGTCCCAGGGCTTCAGGGCCTCACGGATTCCCGGACCTCCCCTGCTGCCCGCGCACAGCCTGACTCTGTCTCCGCCGCCCCCGGGGCCTGTGTCTCCCAGAGGTGGGGGCCCGCGTGTGGAGGAGGGGGGGCACATGGAGCCTGTGGCCTTTGGCCCCATCGCTGGCACGCAGAGAAGCCCTGGCCCATGCGCCCTGACAACACGGGGCGCTCCGGGAAGGTGCCTCCCAGCCCTGCCCCTCCCATCACTGGCCGAGCGGCCCACCTGTGCCCCCCACATCCTCCTGCCCCCCGGCTCCCTTCTCCTGGCTGCCCCTGGCCTGGGACAGAGCGGCCTGACCTTCCTCAGACATAGTTCAAGCCGCTGTGCCGAGGACGCACTGTCGCGGGCTCCTGGGTCCGCGTGCACAGGTAGCCCCGCGCCCCTCGGGGCTTGCCTCCCGCATCCCTGGGGCTGGCTCGGTGCCCCCACCCCCCAGGGTATTTCGGGGATGCTGAACAACCAGCACCAGTCGCATCCCCCCTCAATGCGCATTTTCCGCTTGCGCGGGCGGCCTCAACCCTTGGCCCTGAGCCACTGGGTCCGGGGCAACAGTGTAGGAAGGCCCGGAGCTGCAGGGAGCAAGGGCCGCGGGGCGTCAGCGGGCAGGGTCCGCGGCACACTCTCTGGGAGCAGCAGCTGAGGCTGAGGGTGAGCGCGGGGCCAGGGCGGGTATAGCCGGGGGTCTCCTGCGGGAGACAGCGAGGTGACCCATTGCTGTGAGGTAAGTACTTGGATAAAAAAGCAGCCGGTCCGAACTTTTAAAAAGTGTGAGGAGTACAAAGGGTCCCGAGACCCCAGGGCCCCTCCCCCACCCCTGTACTGAACTCCAGGCTGAATTCGGGGTGAGGCCCCCGGCGCTCTTCCGCCTCCCAGCAGGCCCGCCTTGGCCTTCCTTCGCCACGTCCTGGAAGCCACTCTGTCCCCGCCCGGGGAGGCGGTAACCTGTGAACCACCGCCCTCCCAAACCCGACCCGCGTGCCCCTTGGGGCAAGGGAGCCAACCCTTTCTGGCGAGTCAGTGGGTTTTAACCACTTACGGTTAAAAACGTCTTCATTCTGCAAATTTTAGAAAACCACATAGTCACGTGCGGATGGGGCCCAAAGCCGAACACTGATGGGCCTCGTGGTCCCCCTGCTCCCCTCCTGGAGCCCTTGGCCACTGTGCCCGGGGCCCGGCTCCTCTCTAAGAGCCCCAGGTCCCCTGGACGGACACCCTGGTCCCCAGTCAACCCTCTCTTCTCCTCTGCTGAGCCTCCAAGCCCACGCAGCGGCTCTGGGGCGGCCAGCCATGGAATGAGTAGGCTTTTCTGGAGAAAGGACGTCCTGTGCTCTAGATTCTGTCTCCCAAGGAGGTGGGCCTAGGTGACCCAAGGGCCACAGGGCAGAGTTCACCAAACCAAAGTGAAGGTTAGACATGCCCTCTAGACTCCTGGGTCCATGACTTCGATGGGCTGTGGGTCCCCGAGGGCCACAAGCCCCTTGCACTGGCAGCCGGCCCAAACAGAACTGCCCCAGGTCCACTTGTGACGTCCTGCATCCCAGCAGGGTGGCAGCCATGCTCCCCAGCGTGCACCCGACTCCCCCGGCCTCACCCCAGGGCAGGAGGGGTCGCAGCGAGACCAGGCAGTTGTCCCAGGGAACTGCAACAAAACAGCCCTCGGGGTTTCTGTGACTCTAGACCTGGTGACTCGGCCTCTGGCCTCCATCCAAACCTGGCCCAGGCCTGGCCTCCACTTTCCTGAGCCGTCTGCCCACTCCTGGGGCCCGGAGGGAACCTGGGTGGGCTTCCTTTCAGCCCCGCGGCTGTGGTGCAGGACCCTGTTCCCCTGGCCCACCACACCCCTGGGGGCCACACGACCCTCCCCACTGGTGGTCACCATGGTCTCGGAGTGTAGATGAGTCAGCCTACTTAGCAGCCCCACGCCAGCCCTGACCTGTGTCTTCTCGCAAACCATGCGTCCCTACTAGTTAAGACCCATTTTCCAGGAAAACATCTGTTTTGCCTGAAAGAAAAAGTCCTAATCTGCACAAAGGAGAAGCTGGTATTTCTGACTTTCTGGCCACTCTTGCCTCCGCCGTGTGTGTCAGGCTTTCACTTTTTCTGGGTGGGCAGGAGTGGGGAGGGCTGGAGATCACTTGCCCCGGGCCCCTCTTGGCCTCTAATTGTGCTCCCCGCTCACCCAGCAACCCAAGATTACCCGGTGGTTAACAGACACTTGGCATAATTTTCCTTGTCTGTCCATGGGGCCTGGAGGAAGGATAGAAATAGGAGCCCCTCCCGGGTTCTGGTGGTTTCTCAGGGTCAGCCAGCGGTCCCTGCTGCCCCATCTGCCAAGGACACAGGGCAGGGCCCTGGCCTCCCTCTGGCCCCGGCCATCCTCAAGTTACGGATGGGTGGGATCAGGGGTGATGGGAGACGGAGTCTGAGTGTGAGCCCCGACTTGCATCAAGAGGAGCTGGTCAGAACCACATGGCCCTGAGCACGCCAGGCTGGTCCTGCCCAGGCCCGCCCCCCACATGCGCGCCCTCCCGGCCCCCCCGGGCCTGGGCGGCGCTGGGCAGAGGCTCACGGCGTGTGTCCAGCGCCCTCTTGTGGCAGCTGGGGAGAGGTGCGGCGTCCCCCAGGGCCGGCCGCCAAGCCCTGTCCATTCACCACGTCCGCTCACCCTCGTGTATGCACGCGTGGGCCTGTGTGCGGGGGCCGGCCCCGCAGGCTCATTTCTGCCCCACCCAACACCTTCTTTGCGCAGTAGCCAGTCAGTCCGCGGGGCTGAGCGCTCGTGCCCACGTTTTCTTTGTAGGAAAATAATCCCCATAGACCTCAGGTCAGAGCAAACACAACCCCGTTTGTTACTATGGGGACTGCTGTTAGTACGACTTTGGAAAATCACGGGAAGCAGGAGCCCCAGACAGCTCTGGACGCCCTTCTCCCATCCTTCAGGCCCCGACCTCCTGCTGCCTGGCTCAGGGGTCCTCCCTCAGACTTTTCTCTTGTGGCCGCTAGGCTGGGTGCCCTCGGTAGCCCGGGGCCCGGGTACTTCCTGCACAGGGACCAGACGGGCAGCCAGCAAGCCTGCCCCACCACCCTGACCCCGGCTGGCACCTGCCCAGGGCTGGCCCGTGACGTCTGTCTACAGGGAGCCTGGGTGCCCACAGGGACCCCTGCTATCCGCCCCGCCCCGTCCCATCCCCCACGGCAGAATTGCCCCTTCAGCAACTCCAGGCCACAGAGGAGGGGGTAGAGCAGCCCTGCTTCTCTCTGAGGAGCACACTTGGTAAATATGAGCTCCAGGGGGCATGAGTGGCCCCCCACGGCCCCGTCCGGGCGGTACC